ACCAAACTTGATATTAAATTTAAATTTTGATGAAAAAGTTATTGTTTGGTGCTCCAACGGTTGCACCAAATCGATATTAAAATGAGATTTCACCAAACGATTCCTCAAACTGAGGACAGGTTTCGCATTTCACCAAAACACTGTACATGGCCGTTGGGGGAGACGAACCGGTCGACCAGCCGGTTGACCGGCCAGTTGACCAACCAGTTGTCCATGAAAAGGTTCAAACAGTTCAACATTTCTGGTTCAAACAATTCAAAAAAAAAAATTGGCTTACCGGTCGACCAGCCGGTCGACCAACCGGTTGTCCCAGAAAGAGTTCAAACAATTCAACATTTTTGGTTCAAACAATCCAAAAAAAAATATATTTCCCCTCACCGGTCGACCGGCCGGTCGACCAACCGGTTGTCCCGGGACAGATTTGGTGAAAGGTGAATTGTTGGAGCATCTGGTACCAAATTGGAAAAATGGTGATTTTTTTACTCAGATTTGATGAAAAGTTTGGTGAACCGTTGGAGATGCTATTATAAAGCACAAATATTTTTTTTAAAAGAAAATAAATAAGTTTTTTTTATGTTGTTTATTAAAGGAACCATATACACCGGTGTATTTGTACAAAATTAATTATATATTAATGGTAAATTTTATCAATATTAATAATTAAACTTATAAGTTTTTCAATGAATTCATAATTAGTTTTTTTTTAAAAGTGGACTGAATAGTAATTTTCCCTCTATTAATATTTTTTTTTATAATTGATTTGTAAAATAATTTCATGACATTTGGGTTGTGTTTGGAAATAAGTTTTTTTTTTCTCCAAAATTTCCATCTTTATATTTTTTCTTTACAAGTCCTTTCATAAATTTAAGATCTAAACACAGTTTATTTTTAATAATTTTTATAGAGCAGTGGGGTTTGGAATTTATTGAACTAATATTGATAACTATCAAAACGAAAAATATTTTCTTATGTTGTAGGTGGTGTGTCTTCCTCTCTTCCTTCTATCCAACTACCTTAACTGCCTTGTAATATGAAGAATTCAAAAGATATCCACATATTGCTTCATCAATTTGTACAAATCAATAAAATTTAAAAAAAGGGCATTTATAAAAATCTAATTTATGAAATCATATTTCATTAAGTCCTAATTAAAAAAATTTAAACCTTCAAATCCCATTAAATTTTTAGTAGTTGAAATTGTCGTTCAAATAATGATTATTCATCATTTATGATAATCTACAAAGGAATATGGTGATTTGACATTTATTTTGATTTTTAAAATTTTAAAATATCAACTTTCAAATTGAAAAAAACCGAAAAAAATAACTATACTCTTTTTTTTTTGAAAAAATTGAATTATTTTTTTGTGTAAAACTGAAAATTTTGTGTCTATAAAGAAGCATGATGATGGAACATTGATGTGTAAAACTAAAAAAAAAACTTTAAAAATGAAAAAATTGATAATGTTCTCAGTTATATATATATATATATATAATATTCTTGGTTTTATTGGATAGTTGAATCAAATCAATAAATAGAAGGATTTGACATTTATTTTGATTTTTAAAATTTTAAAATATCAACTTTCAAATTGAAAAAAACCGAAAAAAAAAACTATACTCTTTTTTTTTTGAAAAAATTGAATTATTTTTTTTGTGTAAAACTAAAAATTTTGTGTCTATAAAGAAGCATGATGATGGAACATTGATGTGTAAAACTAAAAAAAAAAAACTTTAAAAATGAAAAAATTGATAATGTTCTTGGTTTTATTGGATAGTTGAATCAAATCAATAAATAGAAGGGCAAAAACGTTTAATCTCATATTCTGTTTTTTTATCAGTTAGTGAAACAATTATCTGGAATATTACTATGCAAAATTGATAATGTTCTTAATTTTAAAAATTAGAAAAAACTGATAAAATTCTCAGTTTTACTAAATAAGACTCATTAGTTCAAAAAATCTTAGATACGACCTAAGTTATCATAACATTTATAAATCGTTTGGTAACATCACTTTTTAACCTAAAAGTCAAAAAGTTACTAAAAAAATTCAAAAGCTAAAAACCTATATTAAAAAGTCAAATATTCCCTTTCTTTTATACTTTTTGTACATCTTTTTATAAAAAATTAAAAAATCATTCTAAATATACTAATAGCATTTTTTCACCTTATATTTTAACTAAAAAATTATTAAAATTACTTATTTCTGAACGAGACCACTTAAAAAATTCAAAGTTACATATCCACCCAATTTTTGGTGATGAAAAGTATACCGTGGCTTTTTGACATTTTCTTAACAAAAAAGAATAAAAATTACTTTTTAATTAGTTTGGAGCTGTTCTTTTGAAGATTATTCTGGAGCTGTTATGATTCTAGTGCTTGGAGCTGTTCTTTTGAAGATTATTTTGTTAGCTTACGTTTTTTGTGAATTTTTTTTTTTTAATTTAAAGATTTAGATTTCTAAATTATATTCAAGGAGACCCACCGGAAAATTATTTTTTAAAAAAAAATGTTTAAAAAATGTTTAGAAAAGACAAACATAAGTAGGAAATAACAGACTTTTTTGGCTTTTTCAATTTTTTTGGAAATTTTTCTAAAAAAATATACTTTTTAAATTCGTTTGCACACACGAATGAGTGGAAAAGTAAAAAAAAAAAATTGACATAATTTTAAAAAAGATCACTAAAATAGAAAAAAATTCAAAAGATGAGGGGGCTCATTTAGGAGTTCCCAAACAACTTAGCCATGTTTGTTTGCCTATTTGGAAAATGAGATTGAATTAATAGTTATCTCTCTACCTCTTTACCTTCTCTCTCTACCTTTTCTAGGATTTTTTCGAAGGCACAGCTCGGAGCAGGGGAGGGGGGCTCCGGTCTCTGGCCTCCGGCAGCCTCTCCCCTCCCTTTATGCCCCTCCTCTCTTTCGTTTTTTTTGTCCTTTTGGCTCAATAATACTTTGGAAGCTTAGTTTTTCTATTTCTCCCTCCATGTGAGGTCCTTTTCCCCTTCTTGGTGGGAACTCTACTCTTTATCCTCACTCTTCTCAGATTTCCCCAGTTGAGGCCTCATCGGATCTGTCTATCTCGTCCTCAGTCCTCCATCGGCGTCACCTCCACCCTACCAGATCTGTCGGATCGTCCGTCTCCTTCATGTGTTGGGCATCAGATCTGCTCCTGCTACCACATCTCCACCACCAATTTTTGCCATGGATTTTGGGATGGAGGTCCTTCCATTTCTGTTTGTCCTTTTGGTTTTTGCTTATGGTTTTGTGGTCATCTGTGCTTGAATTGTGGCTTTCCAAACTTTGTGGTTGAAATGTATGATCTATTCAGACAGGCTCTATTATCGATTTTGATCGACTCTGCTTTTGCAGTATGAGTCCAAGCACAACATGATGTGCGTCTGAATATTTTCATATTTTTTCTCCAGAGTACTTCTTGTAATTTTCTTTACTTTGTTTTGGTGTAAGCTTGGTTGTTTGATGGCCCTTGTAATTGCCATTTTTGGCATCCATTAATGGATTTCTACTGATAAAAAAAAAAAATCTCATTATACTCTAGTAGTTCGTAAGATTTATTTATAGAGTGTTTAGTTAAGGATATGAGTGAGTGGATTAATTATTCCGTTGGATTAGTAATCCCTAATTGGTAGGATTATCAATCCTATAATGGAGTTGGGATTAAAAATTGAGTGACGGGATTAGTGAATTTTTAAATAATTTTTAAGTAAATTTTATAATTTTTAGAACCAACAAAAATTAATTATAATATTAAAAAATACTAAAAATTAAAATATATTAATTTTATATATTAATACTATTTATAGTATTACTAATCTGGTAATGTACAAGTAAACACTATCTATCCTACATTTTCAACCAAATACCACCATACTAATAAACTCCTTATGCAGTTCAACCGTACTCTTATCCTATAGAGCCAAATAAATATGGCCTTAATGAATATTTATCTTCTAGACATGGGATTGTTTAATTTGAATCATTCAGTTCCTTCCTAACAGATCATTCATATAAAACATTAGATTAATTAGATAATTATAACTATATGATCATATCACATCTTCATCTTCAAAATAACAGAGGGTCTATTTGTTGTTGGTTTTAATAGATGGTTTCGTTCATCATCCTTTTCTTTAACAACAAATGCAATATGATTACGAGGTTATACTTGTTTGATCAATCTAATTTTTTTAATTTTTGAATGAATGGTTTACTCAAAACACTTAAATTTTTAAGATAGAAACTTGTTCTAATTTATTTGAACTAATAAGTTGTAAATAAAAAATATATCAAATAATTTAACATAGACTTTCATATTAAAATAAATTGTAAACAACTTATTTATATATATCAAATAAAAATGATTAATACACTGAATTTGAGTTTAATCAAATTATCTAAATTTTGAAAGTCAGATCAACGTCCGGATAATTAGTACAACCTTATCAATTATGACTGTCACTCTTATTTCTAAATAATTGACCAAACAACCGACATGCCCGTATCTAAACGATTCACACTAATCAAAATTCGGTAAATATAAGATACATCTCCAATATTTGTCCAAAACGAGTCTAGAAAAGAGGTTGAAAACGCTAGAATGATTTCAACAACTCTACTTTTGAGGTACTTTCTAAAGCTTTTCTTTTCTTCACTTTTTTTTTAATTTTTATATTTTAATTTTATTTTTGCTCCCTTCCGATTCCTTCCTTAGATACCCCCTTTTCACGAAGTTTCCTTCCAATTTTCCCAACACCCAAACGTGTTCCCCAACCTTGAGATCAATCAAATCTCCTCAACCCCAATCGTAACCGCGTAAAACAGACCATCCAATATTTTAATCCTCATCTATAGAACTACCGTCCAACGTCACCGTCACTCCTCCCCCTCGAATCTTCTTTTCTCCCACCCACGCCGCGTTCACACGCCTCTCTCTCTCCTCCCTCCGTGTTCATACCCTCCTCTCTCTCTACCTACAAATATATCTATCATTAGCAGTTTGGTCAATTTCAGACTCGTCTCTTGGTTTCACATTGAAATTCAAACTTTCCTTTTTTTTACCTCTCTAATGGAAGTCTCTTCTTTTCATTTTCCAACCCAAGAAAGCTATTCCAACTTTTACAACCTCTCTTCACAAACCCACGACACCACTCCCAAAAGGCGGCGAACAAACGACGACGCAGTCGCCCCATTCATGCTCTTACAACAACAACAAGAAAATTCAGACCAAGGAAATATTTCGATTTTACATTCCGATATTCACCACCACGAGTCCCTTGTCCGAGCCTTCTACAATCACAAAGCTCAAGCCATGAACGAGTACTTCAACGATTTTCAAGGGTTTTGTTCCGATTTGGACGAATCCGAATCCAAAAAAGCTCGCCGAGAATCCACAAGGGCTTCAATTGCGTCTCAGAGAGATTTTCAAGGGGTTTCTTCGGATTTGGAAGAGAAATTCGCTAGTGGTGTTGTTGCCAATGCTCCAATTGCTTCTGAGAGTAATGATTTTAAACAAATTCGAACCAAAAAAGGTGTTGCGAGTGCTTCAATTGCGTCCGAGACTAATGTTTCCGATGGTGGCGCCGTCGCTGCTTCCGGTGGCCAGAACAGGCGGTTGTGGGTGAAGAACAGGTCGAAAGAGTGGTGGGAGCTGTGTAACCACCCGGATTTCCCCGAAGATGAGTTTCGTCGCGCTTTTCGAATGAGCAAGGCCACGTTCGAAATTATTTGTAATGAGCTCGACTCGGCAGTGACAAAAAAAGACACAATGCTTCGCTTGGCGATCCCGGTTCGCCAACGTGTCGCGGTCTGTATATGGAGATTGGCCACCGGTGAGCCTCTTCGCCTCGTGTCCAAGCGATTTGGGTTGGGAATTTCGACTTGTCACAAGCTTGTTCTTGAGGTTTGCTCAGCGATAAAGACTGTTCTAATGCCTAAATTCCTTCAATGGCCTGATGAGATCAAATTGAAGGAGGTTAAAGATGAATTTGAATCCATTTCTGGAATACCCAATGTGGGTGGATCAATGTACACAACACATGTTCCCATTATTGCCCCAAAGATCAGTGTTGCAGCTTATTACAATAAGCGACACACAGAGCGAAACCAAAAGACTTCTTATTCGATTACCGTTCAAGGAGTTGTCGACACTAAAGGGGTTTTCACCGATGTTTGCATCGGTTGGCCTGGCTCGATGTCTGATGATCAAATATTGGAAAAATCCGCGTTACATCAACGCGCAGACCGGGGACTTTTGAAAGATGTTTGGATTGTGGGAAATTCCGGGTACCCATTGATGGATTGGGTTTTGGTTCCTTACACACATCAAAACCTTACTTGGACTCAACACGCGTTCAATGAGAAAATTGGAGAGGTTCAAAGTGTTGCCAAGGAGGCTTTTAAGCGGTTGAAAGCGCGGTGGAGTTGCTTGCAAAAGAGAACTGAGGTGAAACTGCAGGACTTGCCAGTTGTTCTTGGCGCGTGTTGTGTTTTGCACAACATATGTGAGATGAGGAATGAAAAAATGGAAGATTCAGAGATGAATTTCGATCTGTTTGATGATGAGATGGTTGCGGAGAATTGTGTAAAGTCTATCACTGCAGTGCAAGCTAGGGATCACATTGCTCACAATCTCTTGCACCATAATTTTGCAGGCACTACTCTTCTATAGTGAACTATACTAGTAGTTATGTTTTGGTTTTGATTTTAGTATTTTTTAGATATGCTATTGATTCTTTATCCATGGCTTGTATCGTCATGTTATAGAATAATGTCATTTGTATTATTTTTTCTTCAGTTTAAATAGATGGATTATTTTCTCCTCTACTGAATTGATCCATGATGTTGCTTATTTATTTAATTTTGTTAGATGATTTAAGCAATAATTCTACCGACCCAGAAAAGATGCTTAAAAAATCATACAAGCAGTAACTCCATCTAAGTATTGAAAGGAAAAATAAGAAAAATGACTTAGACCCCAGCTGGATGCTGGGGTCGGCTCCTATTGGACAAAAAAAAAAAATTTTTTTTTTTTTTTTTTTTTTGATTTTCGGCCAACCCCAGTGCGACACGTCACTAGGGGTTATCAGTGGGGGGTCACCCCACTGGAGGTCTGTAGCATTTCCGGAAAAATAAATAAATACAATGAAACTTGTACGATGAAGATAAAAGCAGATAAAGGTAAAGGTATGATTTTTTTTTTTTTGTTGCGTTAGTACAATTACTCTACATAGTCTATTGTAATTAAAGCGAGGTTCATATTGATTGGGGCATTGATTTAGACTCCCTTAAAATATTCACTCCCACAATCTCCACACATATAGGTTGGGGATTGGGTGAGAAGAAAAAAAAAAAAAAAAAGGAAAAATTGACCAATCAAAATTAAAGGGGGTCAAGGGGGTGACTCTCAAAGGGGTCTCAACCTTTATTCTTTTTTCTATTTGCATTAGTACGATATATTTTAAGAAGATGGTTAAAAGTTATTTTTTGACTTTTTTAATTTTTTTGTGAGAGAGGGAAATGGGTTAAAAGTTAGGAAGTGACTTTTAACCCACTTTCCAAAATAATCTTTTTTTCATTAAAGCAAGGTCTAATTTATAAATCGTGATATTATAATTTTGAATATTCGCTAGTTGCCGACTAATCGATACTTATAATGAGTTTTGATCGATACTATTCGATTTTGATCGTATCGTTGATATCAATTTGATAAATATTGTTATTTAAAATTATGATGATGAACTAATGAATTGTAATTATACACTGTGATTTTTTTTTTGAGCAATGCTCATTTATTTATTCTCGGTGAAAAGTTTTTATCTGTAATGTTAATTTTTTAAATAAAAAAATAAAAAATTAATTTTTAACCGATTTTTCTTAACCCCCCATTACTAGTATGAACTTTTTCAAGAAAAATATTTGATAGCACTAGAGGAGCACTAATGATGTGGCAGTGGGTCTTGTCCACTTTTTATGCCTTATTATTTATTTATTTTTACTATTTTTAATATATTAGTACTATTAATAATGTATTTTTTAATGGTCTAAATTATTATTATTTTTTCAATTACAATTTAGATTTTAGTTTCAACAGAGTGCGACTGTTGTGATGTTTATTGTGGTATGAACATGTTACATGCAGTCTTTTGTCCAGTCAACCATTGGTATGAACATGCTACATGCATTGTTTTGTTTAGTCAACCATCGGCTCAATCAATGCTCTGATAATGAAGGTACAAAGGTTGACTCACTTGTTCCGCAAATGACTTTATACATTTTTTGAGAATGATGCTTTCAGGTGAGTAACAGCGGCTTTTCCCAATATAAGTTATTTTTGTATTGTATTTCTAAAACTAGGTCAACTTCTGACGGAATTTCAAAACTAAGTTAAAGCGCCATTACTATTCGCGCTTTTACTGTTAGGACCGCAAAAGTAGATGAACAGCAAAATCGCTATTACAAATAGCGCTTTTGATTAATAAGTCGCTATTACAAATAGCGCTTCTAGTGTTATTCTTTTTCCCAATAAAAAACGCTGTTCTTAACAGCGCTTTTCACACAAAATTTTGTTGCCAAAAAACGCTATTGATATTAGCGATTTTAACAAAAAAAAATTTCCAAAAAAACGCTATTTATAATAGCGATTTTAACAAAAATTTTTTTGCAGGAAAAACGCTATTCATAATAGCGATTTCAGTTCAAATTTTGTTCCAAAAAAAACGCTATTTCTAATAGCGATTTTAACAGAAATATTTTTCCCACCCACCGTTTTTAACATAAACTTTGTTGGAATAAAACGCTATTTTCAAGATAAAACCAAAGAAAAAAACATAAAGCAATTATCATGTTCAAATATGTTTTTTTTTTTCTTTTGTTTTTGTTTAGAATGTGTAATTCATAAATTTTACATAATATGAAAAAAAACCTCTTTTCATATATTAATTTTACATACTATTTTTCATATATATAATTTCAAAATCATATTCATGTAGATTATTGAATTTTTTTTGGGAAAATTTTACATAGCGATTTAGCTATTATAAAAAATGTAATTAAAGCTCATTTAACTTGAAACAATTCGCTATGAAATAATGAAAAATCGCTATGTAAAATTAATATACTATTGATAATAGCTAAATGAGCTTTAATTACATTTTTTATAATAGCTAAATCGCTATGTAAAATTTTCCCAAAAAAAATTCAATAATCTACATGAATATGATTTTGAAATTATATATATGAAAAATAGTATGTAAAATTAATATATGAGAAGAGGTTTTTTTTCATATTATGTAAAATTTATAAATTACACATTCTAAACAAAAACAAAAGAAAAAAAAAAACATATTTTAACATGATAATTGCTTTATGTTTTTTTCTTTTGTTTTATCTTGAAAATAGCGTTTTATTCCAACAAAGTTTATGTTAAAAAAAAAATTTCTGTTAAAATCGCTATTAGAAATAGCGTTTTTTTGGAACAAAATTTGAACTGAAATCGCTATTATGAATAGCGTTTTTTCTGCAAAAAAATTAATATTAATATGGTAAAAAAAACCCATCATTTTCTGTGTTTTTTTTTTTCCTTCTTAGGGACTAAATTATCTATTTTTTCATTTTCTTACAAATTAGTGTTTGCTTTTGTCAATATAATTCTCGTTTTGTCAATTATAAAATAGATTTTAAAAATTCAATCCAAATAGACTATAAAATAGACTACTTTGTTTTTCACATCAAACTAATGTTTGGCCCACAAATCACCATCTGCCTGTGACAAGGAGCACCTAAAATAAATAATTATACAACAAACAAAAAAGAGCCTGCAAACACAAACATAGATTCCCTGGCCATGACATTTTGCATAACATACAACCATGTGACGCAAAGTTGTTATATTGCCGAAGTGTAGACATTAACACCTAATTCGCGCTTAAATTGGTAGGTGGCTCAGAGTCTGAACAATCCGAAAGCTCAGCGTCAGAGACAAGTTCAGGATCCTCCATGATAGCCTTGATAGCCGCAACATTTGGTTCTGTTTTGTTCTTCTGGGCATCCTTCTTAAGTATGAGTAGCTGCATATCGCGGGCCAATCTACGACCCATTTGAGAAATCTCACGTTCTAGTGTTTGACATAGTCGATCAACATTATCAGGATCTTCCTTTTGGATCTCAACAGAACGTGCTTTTGGCACCTTCAGTCCTCTTTCCCGACATAATCTTTCGTTTTGCACTCGCTCTATAAATAGTGTGGGCCACTTAAGAAGTCTAGCTTTTGCATAACCATATCCTGTTTGATTTTCTGATGGATCCTCCACCAAACCACATGGATCTCGATAGTACTTGGGCATGACAAAATGTCGCTTCCCAAACCTATCATGATAAGCACAAGAGGCATCCAAGAAAGGAAATGGTGGTTCATCTTCAGCATCGCCACTTCCCCTTCCCTCTCCTCGTCGTGAACTTTCACCCCTTTGCAAGTTCCTACCACCTCTGCGACTTCCACTCCCTCCCATGAACCATGTAGCCATGCTAATTTTTTAAAACAAATGAATGATAATTTCGTAGGGCGAAATAAGTTGTAAGGTTGTGTCTTCACCTTTAGTTGTTTATATAGTTGGTTATGAACGGCTTTAGGAAGATGCCTCTGTATGGCAGTCCCACATATACGAACAAGGTATGAGTTGTCACTAGAATGGAAAAACAGACTAAATCAAACCATGTAGCCATGCTAATTTTTTAAAACAAATGAATAATAATTTCATAGGGCGAAATGAGTTGTAAGGTTGTGTCTTCACCTTGAGTTGTAAGGTTGTGTCTTCACCTTTACTCGTTTATATAGTTGATTATGAACAGATAAATGAGAATCACACATATATGCATGCTGACTGTAAGGTAAATGCATGCTGACTGTAAGGTAAATCAGTAGATTCACTGTTGCCATGTGACTTTCTAAATTGAGAATCCCACATATATCAACAACAGATGAGTTGTCACTGTAATAAAAAAAATCGAGCAACAAATCGAGGAAACCAAAGCCTGTGCACCAATTCACATGACAAAGACCATCCATCTGCATATAAGGACAAAATAAAGGCATGCTGTTGTTAAGGTAAATCAGTGAATTCACTGTTGCCATGTGACTTTCTGAGTTGAGAATCTCACATATATCAATAACAGATGAGTTGTCACTGTAATAAAAAAAATCGAGCAAAAAATTGAGAAAACCAAAGACTCTGCACCAAGTCACATGACTTCACAATCCATCTGCATATACAGACAAAATAAAGGCAGCCTGACAATAAGGTAAATCAATGAATTCACTGTTGCCATGTGACTTTCTGAGTTGAGAATCCCACATATGTAAATAAGAGATGAGTTGTGACTGTAATAAACAAATCAATAAAACCGAAAACTGTGCACCAGGTCACATGACTTCACAATCTATCTGCATATACTGACAAGTCTCTCCACGATTTGACTACTCAATGTGTGAAAAAATGAAGCTTATGAAGCTTACGACCCGCTATTTGTATTTCATTGAAAAGTATGACTATTTGAATTGTTCTTGTCATTTGGGAAGCTATTCACCGACCTACCTGTTATGTTTTATGTGTTGTTGAAGGCGGTAGTTCGATTCACCGAGTTTAGTTTTTTGTCAACCCCTCATTCATTACCGGAGTCATAATTTTTACTGGACTTTCAATAATTGTAAGGTGACTCTTTCTTCTTTCCTGATGATCATTTTGGATCGTTCTGAAAAGTAAGAAAACTTGATTTTGGATCATTTTGGATCGTTCTGAAAAGTAAGAAAACTTGATTTTGGATCATTT